CCTTAACCTGCTGACAACTCAAGCAACGCGATACATAATCCGCAATATCTCTCCTCAGTAGGTAATATCATGTCGTCATGCCTGTGGAGCTCGTAAAATAGGGCCTCATACTATGATACTGTCATGGAGCCCTGCTCTAACCGAACAAACTGATCTCTGAGCTGATTTCTGATGCTCCTAGGAATAAATCGGGCCAAGAAGGCCTCTAAAAACTCAAACCATGTGACCGGTGGAGACCCAGCTGGCCTGGGGTCTAAGTATGTACGCCACCACTCCCTGGCGGGACCTTCTAGCTGGTTAGCGGTGAAGTCTGCTCCTCTCGACTCCACTAAACCCAAAGTCTGTAGCCGCTCGTGGCAAGTAAGTAGAAACTCGTTGTCATCCTCACCCACCGCCCCAGAAAACCTCGGCGGTGATAGTTTAAGGAACACCCCAAGCATCTTCTACTCTCGAAGTGGCATGACGCCCTCCAACTCGTCAGGCTAAACAACCGGTGCCGCTGGTACAGGCTGGCCCTGTGGTACTGGTGCGGCTGGAGCTGGGGACTCCTACATACCCCCAATGGCAGCTAGTATCTGTACGAGCATCGCTTGTATACCTGGAGCTGCCACAGGCTCAGGCGGTGGCTGGGCTGGTTCTGGGCCGATCGGTTGCTGTTGTGCTGGAGCTGCTGGTGGCTCTATCACGGGCTATAGAGTTTTCTCTCGGTCCTGGGCTGTTGTTGCTCAAGGTCGGCCTCTACCCCTAGCTAGGGCACTAACATGCGTGCGAGCCATCCCTGTAAAGGAGTGGAACAAGTAAGATTTTCAGAATCCGATAAGACACACAATGCACGACAGTTATAGAAAAGCGACGCGTTCGTAAAGACATCCTCTAGCCTCCCGAAGATAAGTAACGAACGTCTCCGTACCGATCTGCAGGACTCTACTAGACATTAGCTCTGTACAAGTGAGACCGACGAACCTGGGGCTCTGATACCAATTTGTCAAGACCCAATTTCTCAGGTCCTGATGGCGCCTACTATATGACCCACCAGTAGGCAAGCCGACCCATATCCCGCAACTCGAAGTAATGGGATGTTAGGGTATAAAACAACCAATCAACCTAAAATAGTAATAAATATAACAAGAACATGCAATGAACGGGCGGAAGCGACTAGACCTATATACACAAAATGAATTCCTCCCAAAACCTGGAAGTCACAAGTACAGAGTTGTTAACAAAAGTACAAGTCCCAAAAGTGGACCACAAAAACAAGCTGTCTCAAAAGGAGAAAGACAAGCAAAAGTAAGTACAGAAGGAGACGGGCAACTCTAGGACGTTGTGTGCTCACCCTTACCTCCGATCACGACCGCAGCTGGCTCGAATGAATGTCGGTAGCTAGTACTCGGACCTGCATCACGAAAATAGATGCAGAGTGTAGTATGAGTACCAAATCAACAGCTACCCAGTAGGCGTCAGGACAACTGAGCAAGATAAGCAAAAGTGAACTGAAATGCAAATAAAGGGTCACAATCAAGGGCAAAAGAGTAGCAAATGTGGGTATGTACACGAGCGTACAGGCAACAAAGACAGGGCATTATGGATACAAGGTGATAAGCTGAGTTACCGCCTAGCTAAGGCCCAGACTATTAGACTCAAGTCTACTATATGAGTCTACAAGGAGCTGACCCCCCGAAACGACGTCGGAAAAAGTTCTACTGCCTAACGGCATTCGAAACCTCGCAAGTCTATGACAACACTAGTCTACGCCTAGACTAAGGCCAAACATACTTCAAATCAATATTATCATATACACCACAAGGTATGGATGTTCAATAATATTAAGAGTCATGCTGTCATAATTCAACAATTTCCTGAAATAAGGGCTAAGGCAGGAATTATAGAAATTTAGCATGCTCGACACCCGAACCCCTCCATACTCAAGCAAATCAATAAGCAATTGCATAAACATGGTCAATCTCACGAGGGGGAAGCCATAGCCTACCTGAAAGCCGATCACGCGTGCTCCAACTCACGGTACGGTAGCTCTTTCCCTCCGAATGGTCTCCAAATGCTTCCCCACTATCAAAAGGTTAATCACCTCGTCATTACGAATATGTTGACACCAAAATTGTAATTTTTCGGAAACGGACCCAAAATTGCGTCTAAAACGGGATTGTGGGAACCACAATTGGAATCCCGAAAACGAATCCGTGAAAACGTCCTAAATACCTTACTAAATTAATACCCCAAAATTTAGCACAAAAAGATGCCTAAAGCATAGCAAATGAGCCCCAACAATTAAAATCATTAATAAGTCTTGAGTTACGACTTGGCAGCCCCTTGATCACCAATTTCTGGAAAAACAAGACCCTTCCAACACAAACATGTTATACCACGACGATCCTTGCGAAAAAATCAACAAGTTAGCCTCAAGAATGACTCAAACGGACCTAAGATGATCAAGATCTAACCTTTCAAAGTTCAACAATAATTCATTCCGAAAATTACTCTAGCAGTAGCTAAATTAGATTCCTTACCTCAAACGAAGCCTCCCCTCGCGTTTCTTAGTTCACCTCTAGATTCCCCACGAAATTCTCTTGAAATTAACCTTTTGAATCACCTAATTTGAGCTTAAAATGGAGGAGATATCTATGTTTGAAGATGAGGGGAAAAAAATGGACGAAAATTGTCCTTAAATCTGGAAATTTCCAGATTTCAACACGCTGCCACGTGGCGTCGCGTGGCTCTGCCACGTCACCACCGCATTAGAATTCAACTCTTCAAACTTAAAGTTCGATGTTCCGGACTCGTTCGGAATCGTAAAAACACAAACCATATATGGAATCTGATTGGAAATGATATTTCAGACTCAATGGTAAAGTAGGAATTTCCATTGGAGATTGCTTCGATGAAAAGTGGGTCCCACACCCACTATCGTTTTGAGCCAGATTCCACAATGGGCATCTAAATCCTCGGGAAATGAACAAAGGGTCGTTCTAGACCAAAATCGATATTCCGAAGCTAACTTAGTTGCCAGAATTTTCATCTGAGCACGTCTTCCAAAAAGGTTGACCAGAGTAAACTTTTCAAGTTATAAAATCTCCAAAACAGGGAAACGGGATTAAAACCCAATCGAACGATCAGGCGATCGAACAGTCAGTGCCAGCAAGTCATAAATGACCTGGGGTCGCTACAGGAACGCTCTAAAACGATGGAATGAATGCTTTAATTAAAATGACCTGGAGTGTCATTACAATAACCACTACTAAAGAACTTTCGTCCGCGAAGGTAAGAGTCAAGAAGTACCTGAAGGCTCAAATAAGCCGTGGAACTGCGCCCGCATCTCATGCTCGGTCTCCCAGGTAGCCTCCTCAACTGGACGATGTCTCCAATGGACCTTAATTACGGGAATGGCTCTGGAACGCAACCGTCTGACATCTCTGGCCAAAATAGCAACTGGCTCCTCAATGTATCTCAAATTTTCATCCAAGTCAACTGCATCATACTGAATCACATGGGTCTCATCTGGAAAATACCGGCGCAACTTCAAAATATGAAAAACTGGGTGAATAGTTGAAAAGGCCGGGGGAAAGGGAACTCATATGTGACCTCTCCAACTGTCCTCAATATTTCAAAAGGACCTATATACCTGGGGCTAAGCTTTCCCCGCCTCCCAAATCTCATTACACCCTTCATGGGCGACACACGGAGGAATACTCTATCACCAACAACAAATTTCAACAGTCGACGCCTACGGTCTGCATAACTCTGATGTCTACGCTGGGCTGTCCTGAGCCTATCTTGAATCACCATCACATGATCTAAAGCCTCTCGGATCAAGTCTGTACCGTGCGGCCTAGGCGCTGTAGACTCAAACCAACCAACTGGAGAGCGACAACGCCTACCATTTAAGGCCTCGAATGGGGCCATCTGAATACTCGAGTGGTAGCTGTTGTTGTACGCAAACTCTGCCAAAGGCAAATACTGGTCCCACTGACCTCCAAAATCCATAACACAAGCCCGCAACATTTCCTCAAGAACCTGAATCGTGCGCTCCGACTGACCATCATTCTGCGGGTGGAAAGTTGTACTAAGGTCAACACGGGTATCCAACTTATCCTGGAAGGTCCTTCAGAAGCTAGATGTGAACTGTGGTCCCCGATCTGAGATGATGGAAACAGGCACACCCTGAAGACGAACCACCTCTCGAATGTAGATACGGGCTAACCTCTCAGCACTGTAGGAAGTATGGACAGGAATGAAGTGTGCTGACTTGATCAATCGGTCCACGATGACCAAAATACTATCAAGACCACGGCAAGTGCGGGATAATCCTACAACGAATTCCATCGTGATCCTCTCCCATTTCCACTCAGGAATGGGTAATCTCTGAAGCTCGTCACCAGTCCTAAAATGCTCGGCCATAACTTACTGACAACTCAAGCAACGCGATACGTAATCCACAATATCTCTCCTCATGCCGCTCCACCAGTATTGCTGTCTCAAGTCCCGATACATCTTTTCTGTGCCCGGATGAATATAATATTTGGACTCATGGGCCTCGGTAAGAATCATCTGAATCAAACCCCCAACTCTTGGAACATAAAGTCGATCACCAAATCGTATAACCCCATCTAAATCTAAGGTAGCCAGGCCGGTGTCACCTCCCATAATTCGACCTCGAAGTGCCACTACGTCCTCATCCTCAAACTGACGGCTGCGAATCCGATCCAGCAGAGATGACTGAGCATCCACATAAGCTAGTACACACCGAGAATCAGAGATATCAAGACGTATCATCCAGTTAGCTAAGGAATGGATGTCCAAAGCTAATGGTCACTCCGTAGTAGAAAGAAAGGCTAGACTACCCATACTCACTGCCTTCCGACTCAAGGCGTCCGCTAGTACATTCGCCTTGCCCAGATGGTAGAGAATAAAGAGGTCATAGTCCTTCAGGAGCTCAATCCAACGGTGTTGTCTCGAATTAAGATCCCTCTGGCTCATAATGTACTGAAGGCTCCTGTGATCATTATAGATCTCGTATCGAACTCCATACAGGTAATGCCTCCAAATCTTAAGGGCAAAAACTACCGACGCGAACTCTATGTCATGAGTGGGGTAGTTGCGCTCGTGTGGCTTAAGATGCCTCGACACATAAGCAATAACACGGCCCTGCTGCATCAGTACACAACCCAAACCAATGTCGGATGCGTCACAATAAACAGTCAACCCCTCACCCTCAACTGGAAAAGTCAATATAGGAGTGGTGGTAAGCAACTCCTTAAGTGTAACGACCCTAAAAATGAACAAGTGAAACTAGAGCCTCACATGTGAATTTGGAGTTGAGAACTTGATGAATTGATGAGAAATGACCGTGACGTCCGGAAACTAGTCGTTCGAACTAGTGAGTTGTAAGGGTCTTGTCGTTGATGTTTGGAGTGTTGTTAAAGGACTTAAGGGGTTGATTAGCTAGTTGATTAATCACCTTTATAAGCTAGCAAGACCTTAAGCTAGGTCATGAAATCATTTAGAACCGAGACCCTCAAAACAGTCCCCTAAAAACAGTTTTTAGTTTTAAGTTAGGAGTGAGGGTCAAATTTAAATGGTCATATCTTTTAGCTAAAAACGAATTAGGTGGGCCCTTACCTATCCAATTAAAGGTCTCTGAGTCTTCTTTCCAACGCCACTGAGTTTTACCAATTCCGACCTTGGAGTAAACAGTTATGCCGGAAATAGTGAAGCACTATCCAAAGGACGAGTTTAGACGGGAATGGGCACAATTTTTAAGTCGAGACTTTATGGGTCCTTAGTCCTTTTCCAAAATTGACCCTATGCTATTCTTTTCCTTTCCTAGCAACTATAAGACCTGTTATGACCCTAATTCTTCCATTTTAAGTCACTCCAATTAGAATTAAAAAGAACCCAACTCCTCTCAAACATTTCCCTCTCTACAACCCTCCATTTAACAAGGTCTAGAACTTGGAGCTAGGGCTTGGATTAAAGGTAGTTTATTCATCAAATTTCTTGGGGAATCTTAGCAAAGGTAT